GATCAAATTGATGTGATGGCAGAATACACACAGCTATAAACATAGACTAAAACATAGCTCACATGGAAATTCATTTTGCATGTGCCAATTCTGTGCATCTTAAAGTTTAAACAAAATGTACATACAATATGTTTCAGTTTAGGAAGAAGCTTTTCTTTTCTTCCCCCTTTTCTGTTCTTTTCAGGGATGACTGAAACCTTTGTTTTTGAGCCAGTTATTGATTTTTATCAAGAAACACATTCAAATACTTAAAAGAGCACATCTGAATATTGTATAGATGTAATTTATACAGGGGTTTAATACCAAAAGCTCATAATTCACTATCTGGCTTTATAATGTTTAGTAGTAACTTATTTGTTTTGGAGGTTTTTAGTCTGCTGCCATCAGCTCTTAAAGGTTATGCATCATATTCGGAGTAGGTTCTATAAAAAACGTATCTGTCCTACAAATTTAGATTTAGACTCATTTAGGATTAAATTAAAAAGATTCTGCCGTGATTTACTGGAGAAATTTACCATTGTGACTTTAAACCTTACACAGTTATTTATAATTTTGCAAAACCAAAAAACCTCCTGAAGCAAAGTTTGTTTTTCCGCTTTACATAACCACTTCTGAAAGTCTGGATGCAGGTTCCTTTACACACATCCACTCACTCCATCAGCCTCCCTCTGTTGTGGTGCCCATGTGCAACTTAGCCTCTCAATCCACCAAGTAATTAGGCTTATTGACACAAGGTTAAGGGCAAGCTAATTTAGATCTTTATATACATCATTTCCAGGGCATTAGGTTTGATCACAAAGCACATTACTAATAGTCTTTATTATGAGAAAATTACCTATAAAAACACTGCTCAAATCTGATAAGCAGGATTTATTATATATACATTAACTGCGGTACACTGAAGCACTTGGAAAACAAGTTAATTCAGTGCTCATTAAGCCTATCAATTCCAAGTTAAATATTTCACAAGGGACTGTATTGTTTTGAATAATTTACCAAATCTAAAAAAAGGGAAGCAACTAAAGTGACAGACTGCAGAATTGAGATTTTTCGTCATCAAATAAAAGAACAAATATACATTTTTTTTTTTTTTTTGTTGTTGCTGGTAAAGTAGATTTATTTCTTTTTTTAGAAACAACAGTGATCATCTGTTATCTCCGGGGAATCTATTCTGCCCAACGTTGCCAGAGCATTCAAAGCAAATTTGCCATGAATGCACCTGGTTTGACACCCATCCAAGCATAATTATCTGCTCAAATATCATCTTTGCTTGCACAGACAAAATAAAATTCTCACTCCCAAATATCAACCTCTGCGAGCCACAGATTTCCCACACAACACCTGTGGACTGTGTCCTTATCATTCCACAGCAGGCACAGCCCTCCAGTTTGGTTTTCAGGCACATTTGAGTCAAAAAGTATCTTGCTATCTATGGTGAAAAATGGCTCCGCTTTGAGGAAAGTTCCCTGTTCATAGGAGCATGCTGCAGCTAAAACAGCAGTAAGAGTTATGGTAGAAAGTTGACACGGACGCATAATTCTTACGATAAGAAGCTAGTCATGTATTGTAATTAGAAAACTGGAGTAGGGGAAGGTGAGGGTGGCAGAAAGAGGAATAAATCAACTTAGACGGAAAGGTTGTTGTCACCTGGGCAGTGGGGGTGTAACTATCACGGAGTGAGTAAGAAGTTGTCACTTCAGAAAGGCCATCTCATTGTCTGGACCGATGATGATTGATCACCCAGAGTAAAGGTGTGATTGTTATGCTTCAGCTTCATTTGTTCAGTGCAGAGACGACTTAAACTCCTGCAGTGTTCACGCACCATGAAATATATGAAAGCAACACTCTTTTTATTGATCTATTTCTATTTTTACTGAAACTTCAATTCAAGCTGAGGTTGGCAATATTTAAAAATGTATCTTTTAAATTATTACATTTATTATCTAGTTATACAAGTTCTACAGTTAGTTTTAAAAGATTTTATTAGATTTTTCTGTGTAAATTCTGTGTAAATTGTTCATATACATTTTATGATAATAATTCACTGTTTTAATAGTCTATTTACTTTCTGATAATGTTTACAGAGGACAGGGCATCTGGGTATTGTGAGAATAAATTTCCATGATTAAAAACATTAATCAAAATATTGTTGCAGTTTGTAAGCAGTAAATTACATGAAATTTGTTACTACTTCAAAAATCAAAAGGCCATATATAATGGAAATAGTTTGCATTGCTAGAGTAAACAGTGTCGGGATTGTAATCCCTTTTTGGGGAGAAAAGACCAAAAATGAAGAATAACTTCAGAAAACCAAAGCTAGATTTTCTTTAGTTTTTAAATTTTACACAATAGTTTTAGCGTTGGTATATCCAATAGCAGGTAAATGCCCTTAACTAAAGGGTCGCAATGCATAAAATGTTTAGTGCAACAGTTAAACATTAAAACATTGGTATAAATTAATGGTATAAATTAACATTTTCAAGGATTAATCTCCATATTCTCCATCAAGAGAGTTTTGATCATCTTTAGCACTTCTGTTCTCAGTCCAAATGCCCCTGTGTAAATCAAGTGTGCTGATGAATAACACAAAAGCTAACAGTTTACTTTCACAGCTACTTTTGAACCAATTTGTTGGCCAATATTAATTATGTAATTGATTGGAAAAGGAAAAATCGCTAGTCCAATCTCAGCAGGAATGATAACCAGATAGAGCAAGAGAGCTGTGTGTGTGTATGTGTGTGTGTGTGTATATATATGTATTAAATATATATGCGGGAATGAGGTAGGGTGCTTTGGGGAGCAAGATTTAACATCCACTGTGATACCCCGGGGAAATCATTTTGATGGCTCTTACCTCCAGGTGTTACTCATAAACAAAGAGCCAGACAGCTGTTATACAGTGTGTGGCTTATACGTGTTACAGTATTAATGTGGGGAATGCTGCTGGCTAATGCATTAATGCTTGCTGACTGCAGTCCACCGCAGTAAAAAAAA